CACCTGATACAAGTATTACTAGAACATTATTGTAACAAATCCTACTGGATATATATATATATCTATATATTTGAAACACTTGAAACAAATTACACTTGACACTGTTGTAACAATTAGTATGTGATATAGTAATACTGTTGAAAAAATTACACCTGATATAAATATTACTAGAACATTATTATAACAAATCGTACTTGATATAAATATAATAGAAACACTTGAAACAAATTACACTTGACACTGTTGTAACAATTAGTATGTGATATGCTAATACTGTGGAACAAATTACCCCTGAAATAATTATTATGGAAACTACTTACTGCAGTTACAAATATTATGGGAACACTGTCGGCACAAATCACACCTGCTACGTTATTATGTAAACACTGAACACTGTTGAAACAAATCATATGTTATATGATACTTTTGTGGGAACTTCTCACAACTGGTATAACTGTTATTAGGACAGTGTGTAGAAAGCTTAGCAGTTATTGTGTAGACATTCTGAAGCGTGGTTACTATGGAGACGCTGATGAAAATCATTACATCTGGCACAGTAACTATGGTTACGTTTTTGATCCCTTTGTTGTTTTCTGTGACAGTGTCGTTGTCTTCTTTGCAGTTTTGTTTTCGCCTTTTACGAGGAATTGACTTCCCGTGTGGTTAATTAAAAGTTAACTTTTATGTTTCTAATATTTTACGAAACTTTCTAAGTGTTAATATTTTATGTTCTGTGTTCTTTTGACAATTAGACATTTTGAGCAAAGTTCCCGTATTCCAGTCAGATTTCTTCTTTTTCTTTTAATTACGTTTTTTGTTTATTTTCGTTGAAATAGTTCATTCTGTTCTTCAACTGGATCGAATATGAACCAGCCAAATCAGGAAACTATATATTTCCAGCATGGGCTAACGCTGTTGGATGGATAGTTGCTTTTCAACCAGTAGTCGTTATTATCGGTGTATTGTTTTGGAAGCTTTGTTCTCTACCAAAAGGATCTCTCAAACAGGTAATATAAATTTCATATCATTACTTTTTCTTATATAACACTGAATGATATACATTTGTAATTTACCGTATGTTAACATTTTTTGGGTTTTTAAGATCCAATAGCAATATAAGCATTCAAACAAGGATTGTGTAAATATAAAAATATTTGTCTTTTCTCTTTCTTTGTTAGACACTTATTAGTCCTTGATATTGGATGAGTATAAGAAATATATCTTCTTCGCTCCTTTTGTAAATCTCTCACTACAGCTTTATTTACCAGGATTGTTTGGTTATCAGTAATTTTGCTTTTCATTCTTTCACATCATTACTAGTGACTAAGATATTAGGAATACGTCGGCTTGATCAGCATTCCACCTTCTTCTGTAAGATTTTTTAGAGTACTTTAGGTACAAGATTGCCCTGGCATCAGCTTAATCCTTCCTTTTTTACCAGAAAATTCCTTCTAGTGTGTGAGCTACAAGACTGTTCTGCCATCACCGCCATCCTTCTTTCTTCTTCTGTAAGATTTTTTCTAGTAGTTAAGGTGCAAATTATCATGACATCATCGTCATCCCTCATCATTCTAAATGTAAGATTCTTATTTTTGGTCAAGGCACCAAACTGTTATGGCACCAAGGTCATCCTTCCTTCCTTCTGCGGTAAGGTCCTCATTTGTGGTCCAGGCACTAGATTGTCTTGATATCAAAGTCACACTTTGTTTTTCTACTGTAAGACCCTTAATAATGGTAGAGATACCAGCTTTTCTTTACATCAACGTCATCCCTCTTTCTTCTACTGTCAAATCCTACAAGTGGTTGAATTTATTATGATGTGCTGATCTAAGCGGCATCCTTCTCATCGTATTGTAAATTACCTACTAACAGTGAGGTATTAAGATCGTGTTGGTATCTGTGACACCCGTCCTTTTACTACTGAAAAATATTTTTGTTAATGCTGTTAGGATTTTGTTGGCGTTACTAGCATCCCAGTTCTTCTAAAGTAAAATCCTTACTAGTGACTGAGATGCCGGTATTGTGATGATATCAGAAGCAATTTTTGTTTTCTATCATAAGATCTTTTATTAGTAGATATGATACCAGTTTTGTATTAGTATCAATAACATTTCTTTTTCTCCTACCATAATAATCTTATCAGTGGTTGTACTACCAGGATTGTGTTTACATCAGCATCATTTTTTTTTCTCCTACCTAACATTCTTACTAATGGTTGTGACACCAGGACTATGTTAGTATTAGCAGCATTCCTTCTCTTCTACCCTAAGATTTTTACTTGTAGTTTTGACACCAGGATTATGTTGGTATCTGTCAGGTTTATGTATATGGATAGGCATGATTCTTTACAGTAGGTGCCTGTGATATGTTGGCGATAAATTTCAACAATAAACAAACAGCACACAGTCCACTTGTTTTAATATATAATATATTGAAACAAGTCACAAGTATATACAAATGTTCGTTACACATTTAATCGCCACAATTTACATAATCGTATTTTTTTCGTCAAAGTCCAGAAAAGCTGGATCAGTTACATTAGAATCCAATTGACAAGACGAATTATTCTTCTATACTCTGTTATATTACAATACAATTTGCGATCATTACACATTAAAAGTCACCACTATATGCTCTTTCTGGCTAAACTCACGATCACCCAGTCTATATTATCTCTATTTCTTTTTATTGATTAATTTTTCGAACTTTCTACGCATTACTACATATTATATGATGCAATACTACTCGATTATAGCAACGAGAAAAATTCAGAATGTTCGAGTAACATGGCGTCAATTCACAACAATTAAAGTACACAAAAAAATAATTCGTAAACAATTACATAAGTAAACTTGCCATAACTATTGCTTCTAAAGATAACTTACTTTAATGTTGGCTCTATATAAACTAAGTAATACCCTTGTATTCAACTTAAAATAAACAGTCGTGCATATATAATAGTATCAAGTATTTCTCTTCATTCTACTCAGAATAATCGTCAGTATTCTGTTGGTATCAAGTATTTCTTTTTCTTCTACCCCAAGATCTTTACTAGTAGTTATGGTACAAGGATTCTGTTGGTATCAGAGCATTCTTTTTTCTTATACACTAAGATACTTATTATTAGGTCACCTAGTGTCTCAGCGGTAAGTGTCTGTTTTTTTTCCTTTTTTATTTGTATTTTTATTCTGATTTCACATCGTGAATGATACACAATATATATTTACGTTTGACCAAAAGCGAGCCATGAAATGGGTAGAATTTAATATAGATCATTTATACTTCATTGTTACGATATCATGCAAGATCTTTCTTGGTAATAATTTATACTAGAAACAGTACAGATAATTCGAAATGAATCCCTCAAGGTGTTTCAGGTATAAGGCATACTTAAGATGTTTTGATAATCTGAGACTTTTTCTTCCTTGACTGTAAACAAACAATCTGAATATGGGAGCTGTAATATAATATTATATATTGTTTTTTAGCGTTTTATTATTCTGCTGACACCCAGAGAGGATTGGGGACCCGCCCACAAACACGAACAAATGAAGAACAGTGTTTATGATGACGATGGAATTAACGGAGGTATTATACGAGAGAACTCCTTCGACAACCCGAACTTCAACGTTACCTACACTTTTGAGACTGCTATATGAAAAACTTTAATAGAAGACAAACAGAAAACAAACTTTTTTGTCATGTAGTTCTGGAAACTGAGCTCATTGTAGTAATTCGTCCTCACCAAAACATTCTCACGGTTTTTTCAATGAGGAAAGCTGTGATATATGTTATCACTTAGCTGAAGGGTCAAAACTGGCAGCTGTTTGGGACTGTATTGTACGTGAAGTGGGTGACTTGTAGTTACTGTTGAAATACATCGGTCGGTGACTTCCAAGTAAAGCAAACTGTGAAATAACTTAGATTACGTTATAAATTTAAATGCTGTCTGATAACTCACATATCTTGCTCCCTAATAAATCTTCTAGAGTAAACTTTAGTAGGTTTGCTGTAGTTTGGCGTCCATGGATGTTTCTTCATGCTAAAAATACCACCGCATATTACGTAGTCTAGCTTGAAATCAAAGTGGGTGTACTTAAATGGTTCAATTGGAACTACCAATTAAAACCAATAAATCACAAGTAAATCACACAAAAAAAATTCTAAGGTCGCTCAAGCTTGTTTTCTAAATCTGTCCTCTCTCTTCTTTCTCAGCAATAAAAGTAATAGAGTTTAAGAATTAAATTTCATTTTGTTTATTGAAGAACCATATATGTTATAATATGGTGGAAGATTAAAGTTAATTAAAACAAGCCTGGCATTGTGGCAATATTAGAGTTACCTTTTGCAATAGGTTACTTACCATTTGCAGGGGCTCACTTCTAGCTCTAGGAACATGTACAGCTACTTATCCAAGATAGATTATATAGTAGTAATATACAAGTCAGTCATGTGTGTGTATTTATAATGTATAAGGTAGTACAAAATAGTTACCACAATATTTGAAACGAAAAAAAAAAAGTGTGAAAGTAAAATGAAAACTCGAACCACTATGTACCTAGAATTAGAATTAATTATTGGAACAGAAAATTAAACACAGGAAACTGGGTATGTACAGAAAGTTAACTAAACTTTATGAAAGTTTAAAATATGCTCCATGGATCTCTGTCCTTGTAATGTCTGTGTCGGGTTCTACCTTTGTGTCATTCAGCCGATTGTAATACAACATGTAGCACTGATAATCATCTAATAATCATACCTATAGTGATTATATTTTAACACGAGTCTGTCCAATGGAATGTTAAACTATAATGAACTAGACAGACACTGCAAGGACAAAAATTCTTTGTTTTAAGTTACACCTAGGATTTTATTTGTATAATACTATTTTTTTGTTTCCATCATTACGTTTCAAAAGTATAGTGCTGCAACTTTTTTTGTACATATACATTATATTTAGACACACGAGTACGTGTATCTGTGTGTGTGTGAGTGTATATACATATATATATATATTTATATGTGTAATTGATAATCTAGCAGATCTCGTAGAAGCTCGGAATTCCGCGTAGAAACTCGTGAATTACTGCTTTATTAGATTTTATTTCTTATTCCTACATTTGTTATATTTGCTAATTGATCTTTATGAAGGGCTTAAGCCAAAATATCCTGGGCACAACTCCTCTTATAATTGTTTTAAGGTGTTTTGTTTTGTTTAGCTCAAATGTTTCTCTTTAGATTTGTTTGCTAATTTAAGCCATAACAATCGTTGAAGTTTTATGAGTTTCAGAAATCAGTAATCGAGTTTCCAGAGCTGTGAATGATCACTTGCTCATTAGATTTTGTTAAAAATACATTTGATCTTTTTGTCAGTTTTTTTCGATTTGTTTTTGTTTATCTTTTAGGTGATAGGTTATGGAAGAACGGGTGAGTATGTAGTGGTCTCGAATTTGTATATACAGCATGTAACTTGTTTGGAAAAGTGTACAAATAATAAAAGATGTTAGATATGACCGTTTTTTATGACTGAATTTACTATGAAATATATGTAAATAATTGAATAACGCCCAGTCTGTCAATGAAATGTGTCGGTACGTACGCAACAGTGTTAATAGTTTATCTGATAGAAATGTTCTTTTGTCGCGCAAAAAACCATTAAACTTTAACAGTCTGAGAAACTATTTAAAATATATTTGAATTTACGTTTATATAGATACTGTAACTAAAATTAAGTACTCACACAAATGACAAGATGCTTCTCAAAGACTCCTGTCTATTAAATAGTCAATAATTAGGGTCATCGCTTTTACTACAATGAATTAACCAATGTTTCGCTGTCACAGATGTAACAACTACTGAAAGTAAGTGGAAAATGTTACATTTAGTGTTACGTCGATTTGAGTACCAAAGGTAACTACATGAAAAATCCAGAAGGTAATAGGAAATTACACCTGCATAATTCACCTTTTGAATTTCTTGATAAGTTTATTAAATCATCAGGTTAAACATAATTTTAGAAATCACGCACATTCAAAAGATAAAGTGTATACGATGGGTGCCATTTGAGTCCTAAAAACCACGTTACTGGCGCTATGTATGCACAGCACCTCAATATTTTTGTTTCTGCGAGACACAGATAATAGTACGCTAATATATGTAGGGGTTTTTTCTGACTGCCATGCTAAATACAGAGAAAGAGTACAACTTACCTGAAACATATAGAGACTACATCTTTGCACGAAAAAGGCCGTCCCTTTCATTGCTGATCCATACATCATACAGATAGATGTTCTTATGTGTATGATCTACCTGGTCAAGGTGGTGTACAAAGTGACTAAGCTTCTCTGAAGATACAATAGTAGAAAGCCCAGGTTCGCAAAACCTGTTTTAACTTTTTCCCATGTTGACCTTTTTTTCCTCGTTAAATATTTGAATACTTTAATCTATTACAGTGTGTTAGGATTTTTTACCAGCTCGAGCACGCTATACGACTGCGCAATCAGTTTCTGGACTTCGTATGAATACAGGTCTGTAGCGGTAACAAAGAGCACTGATAATCATCAAATAATTCCCTGTAAAAGGAATCTACCTGATGGTAATCATGTCCAGTAGCTTTTGCTGTTTCATTTATTGTTTTTAAAATTCAATGCATTCTTGTTATAAGCCTTGAAAAATTAGATTATTTTGTAGGATGCTGGTTTGTGGTTACACCCCTTTTGCAGATAGAATGGCACTTAGATTAACACACCAATTTTGTAAAGGAGATTCAAATCATCTCTAAATCCTCTATTCACAACATGTGGTTCTATTCAGTTGTGAATGTTTTCAATAATAGTTCAAAATAAGTAATTATTGCAGGATTACTTTGGCCAAAAGTATGTAAAAAATAAGTGGATACAACATTTTCTGTTGGACAAGCTTCTTGTCTATAATACAACTTTTTCTCTAGAATGCATACTTCGCAAAACGTCCCGTGTAAGAGGCTTGGTTTAGTTAAGTATCAGTTATTGACGGCTATGTCCAAATCCAAAATACATAGGAACAGAATAGTTAGTTAAAATAGAATGAACCGAGTGTATTGTTTTCTTTACAACAAGATAATTTTCCAAACAGAATTATTTTGGATAACCTATCACAGATTTTTATTAAGAGAATTCCAAACATGTTTTTACATATCTTAAATGGGTATTCTTCAAAATTAAAATCCTGGAAAACAGGTCATCACACTGTGATTTGGTATGTTTAGTAAGATTAAAGTATCCGCCATCAATTAGAAAGTGAGACTTCACAAAGTCCATCTGATTAATATTGTTATTTTTTTGCTGCATGTGTATTCTCCAAAAGAGCAATTACATTCGTAGTTTTATAGGGGATTTAGACACAGAAGTAGCACAGATAGAAAGAACGCTTCGAAAGATTTCGTCTCCAGGTCAGCTTGTATCATGTTTTCCAGGGGCTTATATGCCATCCGGAAGGATTGAGATGGGTATGAAGTAATTTATTTTTGTGGTTCTATTATTAAACAAGTGACGGTTTAACTAGTGGTTGCTACAATCTGCTGATTTCCAAGTCTGATTCTCTGTTAATCGTGTTGATGTAGAAAGGTTTTTTTTTAGTTTATTTGTTTTACACAGATTATCTGAGTTTATATGTCTGTAAATGTCCCTTGTCTATTTTATGTCCAGTAAACATGACAAGTTTTGTCAGGGCAGAATTCTATATTTTCATCGGTCTTGTGCAACCTTTATGTTCTTTTATTGTTGCCCAAAAGCTTCTCCGATGTAAATCTATTTACAGAACATGACATTTCATAAATAACGTGTTTTTTTTTTCATAAAAATAAAAAACAACAAAAACAAACAAACTGAACAGTAGTATCTACCCATGCTCTATAACTATCTAAGAAACAATTAAGATAATTCTGAATAAAAAAAAACATTCTTCACGTACTTACAGGTATAGAACTATAAGATATCACTAGTCATGTTACCGTATTGTCAAAATTATACTGTCGTTATAAATACACAGATCATAGTCATTTGCTAATGCACACTCGATTCAAGTTATCTTTTATACACAAGGTGAAAGTTCATTTTCAGTTAATGCACTAGCCCACGAACCGAAAGTGGGCGAGTTTATATCTTTCATTAAAATGGTAATGATAGAATGACAATATTTATCATTACGTAGAACTTTATGCGCTAGAAAGGCCAACATTCGCAAGCGAAGGCAACATGCCTTCCTCCTTTCACGTTATTCAATAAAATCATCAGAATATAATAGATTTTAAGAGACAATGGCATCCAAGGCAGGAGGGACATCAACTACAACATATATATATTTCAAAGGGATAGACAGTTACTTAACACAGTATCAACTTGAGATTTCGTTGTAAGAAAGATATATTGGTGCATATTAAATTGTGGCCTTATAATACATAGAACATTTAGTTTCTTCCTAAGTAGATTTATTCACAATGATAAAACTTTGCAAGTAATTTTTAGGCATATAAACCTATTCTTCGACACGGTATATGCAATTACATGCACTGTGTGAATCAAAACACTATTAATAACAACCCCATGTAACATTTACATATACTGACAATGTCTCTAGGCCTAAAGTTCCCTATTATATGTGTTGAGCTTTTTTCCCTTTTACCCTTGTAAAATCAAAAGAGAGGCACAAGTCCCAATTATGTCTGCTACAAGATACCTTTGTGCAAAGTCTCATTTATTGGTCGAAATATAAAAAAATGGCAGACCTGAAGCACAAACGTTGAATTTTTTTTACCTTTGACTCCTGTAAAATCGCAAAAGAGGTGCAAATCTCTTATCTGTCTACTTGAGCAAATTCTTATCTGTATTGATCGAAATAGTAAGTAATAAATCCCAAATGTTTTGTGTATATATTTTTACATTTGACCCATTTAGATTCAAAAGAAAGGCACAAATCCCAGATTTGTCTGCTATAGTTTGTGGGGATTGTCGCAAGGAATCTTTTTGCCAAGACCCATTTGGCTTGATTGAAATATGAGAGCTGCAGGCCGAAATATGTTTTATTACGTTTGACCTTTGGCCTCTAAAATCGGAAAGGAATCCTAAAAAAAATCTGAAAAAGATACTTAGGTGTATTAGATCAAAGTATAGGATTTACAAATTTCAAGAAATCGGCCCAGAATTAAAGGAATGGCACGCAGTTGTAATTATAGGAATGAAAAAGGAAGGATCATAGGAAATAGAATGTATTTCCCTCCCTATGGGGAAGACATAGTCAAATAAATGATGCATAAAAAAATGTTTAATAAATGTAAGAATGGTTTCTACTTCTCTTTGGAAGTATCAATAGTATTAAGTTTATTCATATCAATAAATTTAAATACAAAAAAGAGGTGTACTGTTAAAATACCAATATCGAAATAACTATACTGTGGATGGACTGACTGTTAACAATAATTTCAGTAATGAGTTGGTAAAATGATAGGTATATATGAGAGAGATTGTGGTAGGTGTAAGTCTGAGTAGTATGACAGCTCGGGTTGGCCTTACGCTAGAATTCTGGATTTCGGGACTGCTGAATTGTTTGAATCCGTGCGATACCACAAAATATTCCACTCACCTTAAGCTATGGGTGCATCATAAGAGTAACAATCAATCCCTTAGCGTGGATGGTAAGGTGCTTCGGACTGGCTGCCTTCCCTCTGGTCAGTAACTGAAGATTAGGGACGACGGCAGTTAGCCTTAGTAGCTTTGTCATGAAAATAAATATTGACTAGTACATTACTGACAATCGTCCATTTTCTCGCTTATTTCTTCTGAGTAGTATACTACTGATAACCAACCCATTTCCTCACTTGCCTATTTTGAGTAGTAAATTGCTAATAATCACCCCTTTTCTTGTGTGGTTTAGTGGCTAGAGGCCTGGTTTGTGATTCCAAAGGTAATTACAAAGTCAACAGCATCCACCCCACTCATAAGCTACTCTTTTCGGCCCGAATAGTGGGATTATCATCAGTAATATACTACACAAGCTAGACAGCGAGAAAACTTGGTGATTATCAGTGATATGTTACTCAGACTAGACATGAGAGAAAAATGGGCGAATGTCAGTAATATACTACACAGGATAAATAGCGAGAAAAAATGGTTATTATCAGTAATATGTGTAAGAAAGTAGGAGTGATTATCAGTAATATGTTACTCGGACTAGGTGTAAGAAAATAGGAGTGATTATCAGTAATATACTACTCGGACTAGGTGTAAGAAAATAGGAATGATTATCAGTAATATACTACTCGGACTAGGTGTAAGAAAATAGGAGTGATTATCAGTAATATACTACTCGGACTAGGTATAAGAAAATAGGAATGATTATCAGTAATATACTACTCAAACTAGATGCAAGAAAAAAAAGAGCAGTATATTTCTGATTATGTAATCTGGAGAGTATAATTATTATAAGTACAATAACCTTCCCTGCATTTTTCTGCAAGTCCTGAAAATGAGCAACTACG